CTTCCTTCCTTCCTTCCTTCCTTCCTTCCTTCCTTCCTTCCTTCCTTCCTTCCTTCCTTCCTTCTTTCTTTTTTACAGAGGAAGAAACCAAGGCACATAAAGCTTCTATTGCACAGCCAATGAGTGGTTGAGGCAGGATTTTAAAGCAGGCGGTCTGATTTCAGAACCCACATTCTTCACACAATGCTCTACTGCCTCCTAGTGTTTTAGCCATCCTCAGCCCAGGAGCATCAGAATCCCGGGTGGCGTTAGTTACACTGCAGGTTCCTGGGTCATTCGAGGTGTACTGATTCAGAATCTTGCTGTAAATTAGAAATCTTTAACATGGTTCACAGGAAGAAGGCGGGGAAGAGGTCCTTAGCAGAAGTGCTATGTTCTTTTTTTTTTAATGTGTATTTGTTTTTTTGAGAGAGCAAGAAAGCTAGTGGGGGTTGGGCAGAGAAGGAGGAAGGCAGAGCATCTGAAGCAGGCTCTGGGCTGACATCAGAGAGCCTGACACAGGGGTCGAACTCACAAACTGTGAGATCATGACCTGAGCCAAAGTCGGGTGCTTCAGCCACTTAGCCACCCAGGTGCCCCAGAAGCAATATGTACTTTAATAAAAAGTGTTAATAAAACATTATTCAATAGTCATGACATTGTTAATGAGGTAATTATTTTTAAAGTGTTGAGATACCCTAAAAGTGTTGAGATAACCATTTGACTTTCTGAATAGCAAGTCAAATGTCACTTGTGTAATCACTTCAAAACAATCTTCCAGAAATAAAATGAAGACAATTTCTGTGGTCTGTAAATATTTTTTAAGTCCAGTAATTCACCCTGTATAGTATACAGTTTGAGTTTTGACAAATGCATACAAGGGTTGTGACCAATACCCACAATCAAAATACAGAATATTTCCATTCCTTAAAAAAATTCCCTGTGTCCCTTGTAGTCAACCTCTCTCCCCATCTTAGATTCTGCCAACCACTAATGTGTTTGCTCCCCTGAAAGTTTTACCCTTTCCAGAATATGATTTAAATGGAATCATACAGTTAGGTAATCTTTTGAGTCTGGCTTCTCTTCCACTCAGCATTGTGCACTTGGCATTCATTCATGCTGATGTATCAGTAAATCTGTCTTCTTACTGACATATGTCATTCCATGATATGGATGTACCACAATCTGTTTCCCTGTTAACCAGCTGAAGGACATTTGAGTCACTTCCAGTTTTTTTTATGTATGTGATAATGACTAAACTGCCATAAACAACTGTGTACATGTTTTGTGTGAACACAGTTTTTGGTTCTCTTGAGCAAATAGCTAGCAATGGGATTTCTGGATTCTATGTCAGATTCTATGTCTATTTAACTTTTTTAATAAGCTGTCAAAACTGATTTCTAAAGCAGCTGTGCCATTTTAATTCTTCCAGGACTGTATGAGAGTTCTAGGTGCTTCACAATCTTGTCAGCACATGGTATTGTCAGTTTTTATTTTAGCCAGTCCAATAGTTATGTAGTGCTTTTTCACTGTGGTTTTATTTTTCTTTTAATGTTTATTTATTTATTTTGAGAGAGAGAGAGAGCATGAGCAGGGGAGGGGCAGAGAGAGAGAAGGAGAGAGAGAGAATCCCAAGCTCCCAAGCTCCATGCTATCAGCACAGAATCTGATACAGGGCTTGATTTCATGAACTGTGAGATCATGACCTGGTCGGAAATCAAGAGTTGTTCACTTAATTGACTGAGCCACCCAGACACTCCTTCACTGTGGATTTAATTTGCCTTTTCCTGATAACCAATAATGTTAAAGATCTTTACATGTACTTACTTTCCATCTGTAGCTCTTCTTTGGTGGAATGTCTGTTCAAACATTTGCCCCCTTTTTATTGGGTTGTTATCTTTTAATTGGTTGAGAGTCTTTTTAAAATACTCTACATGCAAGTCTTTTATCAAATATGGATTTTGCAAATATTTTCTCCCAGACTGTGGCTTACTTTTTCATTTATTAACAATGTCTTTCAAAGATCAGGAGTTAATTTTTTTTCCCCAGACTTAATGAGGTATCATTGCCAAGTAAAAATTGTGTATATGTAGATTGTACAACATGATTTTTTTAAAGGTGTACAATTGGATGATTTAATATACATATAAATTATGAAATAATTATAATAATTAAGTTCATTAACACATCCATCACCTCACATAGGTACCTTTGTGTGCATATGTGGTGAGAACACTTAAGAGCTACTCTCTTAGCAAATTTCAAGTGTATAATATAGTGTTATTAACTATAGTCACCGTTTTTTACATTAGATTCCCAGAATTTATTATAACTGAAATATTGTGCCTTTGGACCAACATCTCTCTACTTCCACACCCTCATGCCATAGCAACCATTGTTCTCTGGTTCAATGTTTTAAGCTTCCATTTATAAGTGAAACCATACCAGTATTTGTCTTTCTGTTCTGGCTTACTTCACCTAGCATAATGTCCTCCAGGTTCATCCATGTTGGTGCAAATGATGAGACTTCCTTCTTTTTTATGGCTGAATAATCTCTGTATCTATATCACATCTTTATCCATTCATCCATCAACGAACACTTAGGTTGTTTCCATACTTGGATATTGTGACTAATGCTGCAACGATCATGGGAGTGCAGATACCTCTTTCTTTTAGTTTTAAGTTTATTTTGGGAGAGAGAGAGAGAGAGAGAGAGAGCGCACGTGCACAACACAAGCGAGGGAGGGGCAGAGTGAGAGGGAGAGAGAGAATCCCAAGCAGGTTCCACACTATCAGCGCAGAGCCCCACAAAGGACTCGATCTCATGAACTGTGAGATCATGACCTGAGCCGAAATCAAGAGTTGGACGCTTAATGGACTGAGCCACCCAGGCATCCCTCTTTTTCTTTCAGTTTTACTGAGATATAATCAACATACAGCATTGTGTAAGTTTAAGGTATACAGCATAACGACTTGACTTACATATATTATGAAATGATCATCACAATTAGTTAACATCCATCACCTCATATAGATACAAAAAGAAAAAAAAGAAAGAAAATGTGTTTTTCCTTGTGTAAGAACTCTTAGGATTTACTCTTAACAGCTTTCAAATATACCCTACAGCAGTGTTAACTACAATCATCATGTTGTACATTACATCCTGAGTACTTATTTATCTTATAACTAGAAGATTGTGCCTTTTGACCACCTTCTTCCAATTCCTCCTTTCCCACCCCTGCTTCTGGAAACCACAAATCTTCTCTTTTTCTGTGAGTTTTCTTTTGTTTTGTTTTGTTTTGTTTTTCTGTGAGTTTCTGGGGTTTTTTTTGTTTTTTTGGTCGTTGGTTTTTTGTTTGTTAGATTCCACATATAAGTGAGAGCCTATAGTATTTCTCTTTCCCTGTTTTAGTTCACTTAGCATAATGCCCTCAAGATCCATCTGTGTTGTCACAAATGGTAAGATTTCCTTCTTTTTATGGCTAAATTCCATTGCATATATATATACCAAAACTTTATCTATTCATCTGTCTATGGACATTTAGATTGTTTTCCCTGTCTTGGCTATTGTAAAGAATACTGCAGTGAATATTAAGGTACAGATATCTCAACATAGTGTTTTCTTTTCCTTCAGATGTAGTCCCAGAAGTAGAATTGCGAATCATATGGTTGTTCTATCTTCAAATTTTTGAGGAACCTCCATGCTGTTTTCCACAGTGGTTGCACCAGTTTACATTGCCATCAAGAGTCCACAGGGATCCCTTTTCTCCACATCTTCACCAGCATTTTTTATCTCTAATCTTTTTGGTGATAACCAAACAGGCATCTGTTTTCAATTTTATTGATTTCTGATGTTTATTATTTCCTCCTGCCTGATTTGGGTTTAATTTGCTCTTTTTTGTTTGTTTGTTTCCTAAGGTGGAAACATAGACTATTAATTTCAGACCCTTCTTTTATTTATATATAATATATAGGCACATATGTATAATATATATACATATTCATTTAATGCCACAGACTTCCTTCTAGGCACTGCTCTCATTGCATTCCACAAATTTTGATATACTGTATCATCTTTTCATTTTTGTTCAATTCAAAATATGTTCCAGTTTCCTTGCTGACTTTTTCTTTAATCCATGAGTTATTTAAAAGTGTGTTTTTAACTTCCAGATTTGGGGGGGATTTCCCAGGTAGGTTATTGGTTTCTAATTGAATATACCATTATAATCAGAAGACATACTTTATATGACTTCTTTCATATGTGTTGTTATTTCTTTTTTAATTTTTTTTAATGTTTATTTATTTTTGAGAGAGAGAGACAGAAACAGAGTGTGAATGGAGGAGGGGCAGAGAAAGACG